AAAAAATAATTAAGAAATATATCAGAAAACAGTGATTTATAAGTAATTTACAAGAATTAAACTGATATCTTAAATGTTGAAATACACACAAAATAGCACTTGGTAATATGGCCATTTGAAATAACCATATATATATTTTTATTTAAACTAATTGCATCCATTATATGAAACAAGTAATTCATTATTATATTTTCTATGACACAATAATTTACTATTTTCCTCAACTCATTTTCATGGTTTGATTAGATCATACATTAAGTATGTATTAAGATGTAGACCTAGCACAATATTCAAAATTGGTTTACCTGTTTCTGCTAAATTGAGTGTTGATACAGTAGGATTATATACTGCTTGATCTGCCACATCCTATATAAAAAAAAGGTAATCACCAACACTTTTCAAAAATAAAATACAAATAAAATGGAATTCTCTAAGTAAGAAAAACAAACAAAAACTGAAAACATAAATTAAAATATTGAATCTCAAGAAAATACTGCTTTATTAACCAAACTGAAAGCTAATTTGTAAGATTGCTCATATGCTAGATCAGTGTTTCTCAAACTTTTCTAATATCATTCACCCCTACAAGTTTTTCACAACAGCTCATTCACCCCAGTTCGAAAAAAAAGATGAAAAAAAATACTAAATCAAAATACAAAATTCTTTATTATGACTTAAATATACACCAAACTACAACTAGAATGGATACAACATAAAATAAACAAAACCTATGGTTGAACCATTCACCCAGTTGAAAAGCAGTGTGCTAGATGGCAAAATATTAATATTCTTCATATAATTTTAAATATTTTTCATTTAAACTAAATGTGTTAATTTATATTAACTATTAAAAAATTACCAGTAATCATTTTCAATCAACAGTCTGTATACAACAGGTGAACTTATGATGAATTTTAGGTGTTTTTTTTTAATTTTGGACATTCATACAATTCTTTTTTACAAAGCTAGCAGGACCAATGTGTACACTATGTAAGTAACATGTTTCTATTCCCTCAGTCATACAATACATTATTTCAGTTTTAATTTCCTTAATGTAACTGAACCCTTACAAGCATTTAACCTGACATTAAATTTTGAAAGTATCAACTGTTCTTAAGTCAGCATACCTATTATAAATGAAGTTTTGTTTGTTAACAACATATATGCTACTGTAATACAAAATAACTTTCCTCTTTTATATGTAATGAACAAATTAAACAATATTTTGAAATTTAAAAAAAAAATTGACTAATGTTATTACAATATAAAGAATAAATTATTCCATGATGTTATAAACACCAGATTCAAAGTAATTTTGAAGCACAATGTTTAAAATTACTATTCTCTCATCAGATATATGGTTTACCTCATCATCATCATCAAAGTCTGTATCCCAACCATCACTCTCCCCATCATCTGAAGGTACAACTGAAAACATATTTGAGTTGAAACTTAATATCTTGAGGTTCAATGTATTATCATAAAATGTTTTTAAATATATATACTTATACTACTCTCAGATACACACATGAAATAAAAATATAATTATTATACTAAAGTCATAGTATATAATGCAGAAGTTTTCACAGCATGAGGTTTTAGATTAAAACTAGGGAGTAGGTCTTACTACATCAGATACATGCCAACATTTTTACTCTGTAGTTTTCAACACAGTTTAACTTGTTTGTTTCTTGTGTATTTGTCAAGTTTTATAAAGGCCACAAATCTTTACAGAAGGTGTCTGTGACTTGTTAGCAATAAGTTAAAACAATAAATGGACTGCCCACACTCCACTCGTTTTCAAATAATATATTCAAAACAAGTCAAACGTATGTATAAACAAAATTCATTACACTATTGGTTATCATAGTTGCATCCAGAACTTTAAATACTTGTCTCATTTTCGTCAAAGTCCACACAGGCAGGTTCAATCACTTTAAAACATCCTTTGACAAAACAAATCTCTTCTCTATCTCTGTTGTTATAATACCAGCTGTGAAACTCACTTTAGAAATCGCTCGTCATGGCTAAACTGACAATCATGCAGTTTAACTTAACTTTTACTAACTTTCTTTCTTACTTATTTCCTCTCTGTATATGCACATATTCATAATACGTAACAGAAAAATCTAGAAATATCTAGCCCTCTAGTAACAACAATATTAAACATAACAAGAAAACTTAGAAGCTTCGAGTAAGATGACATCAAGAATATTATAAAAGCCTACTATAACAATTAAACTGCCTAATCAATGTACGATTTGTACAGAGTTATGTAAGGAAACTTGTCATAATTATCACTTAATTAACTTTTAACACTGTTGTTATGAAAACTAAATAATCATTAAATATTAAAGCACTAAGATAACTCTTAAACTGAACAGTCTTGTATACCCAACAGTATTTTTCTTGATTTTGTATACTTTCTTCAATTACCATATTATCCTATTCAGTCATCAGATAATGAAAACATGTAACTTGATATATATTTCTCTGTGTAATATTACCAGAATAATTTTACTGACACTTAGTTTAAAGTATAACATATATACACACAATTTGTCATTTCTGTCATAGTTTAATTCTCAGGTTTTTCAGGATACAATAATTTTTCCATCAAATTTGTAGACACTCTCTTACCATGGGTGTTATACAATGAGGGTCTGCATCTGGTTTCTTGGATTTTCAAACTTCCTACAAATCTTTTAAAATAAGATAAAACTATGTTAATACGTTTTTTTCAGCAATCCAAACTAACGTTCATATTCAATCCTTCAAATAAAGTGAAACTAAAGAATAACACAAATCAACTATAAGTACTAGTAAAGATTTTTATTGAGCAACAACAAAAAATAAACACTGAAAACTATAATATAAACGCATTTTCTGAAATCTTCAAAAAAGCACTCACAAAGAACTAGTCAACATAGAAAGTATAACTGGTTTTAAACTGGCACTCTTTTGTAACTTGTCATTAGCCTCAACCAGTTTAAATTTGTATCACAGAAATATTCTAACACTGTCAGCCATTTCCTTAAATGCTTTATGACAGAGTACTTTATATATGTAAATAAGCCAGAAATATTCTAACGTTGTCAGCCATTTCTTTAAATGCTTTATGACAGAGTACTTTATATGGAAATAAGCCAGAAATATTCTAACATTGTTAGCCGTTTCTTTAAATGCTTTATGAAAGAGTACTTTATATGTAAATAAGCCAGAAATATTCTAACATTGTCAGCCATTTCCTTAAATGCTTTATGACAGAGTACTTTATATATGCAAATAAGACATATATAAAATTTAAAGTAATCCAGATGTACTGATTTATATAAGAATATATATACGTAAGAATAATATACCTTTTTGCATTAGTAGCTTGATTCTTGCATTCATTAACACATTTTGAAAGTTGCCTGAAAAAAACAAACAAAAAAACATAGCAGATAAATTGAATCATAGAACATGTAATGTAAGTCTGTTACACTCACATGTTGATAATGTATGATTTAAATCTCCCAGCATTCATGTCACCTAAATGAAATTCTCTCTGAATGAATCATTTTATACCACCTTATTTTGCCTGAGAACATAATAAGAAAGTATCGGTGCTTTCTTCTAGCTGCTGAGCACGAAGCAATCTCACATTATTCTAACTTAACATAGGACTCGTGAATGTAAAAAGCTATGAAAAAGATTATTTGGGGTTAATTACACATTAAGCAACACAATGCCAGGGTTTATACAGTCATCGTTTTTATGATCTTTATCTTTCAAAATGAAACTCGTACAAACAAATTGTACATTTCTTTAAATTTTGCATTAACAACATATGTTGCTAAGTACGGAATGACTGTATACATTTGATAAGGTTTTAAAACGTACAGATCATGCTTCATTTGTTTCTTTAGGAAATTCGCCCAAAGCTACACGTGTGCTATGCGCTAACCGTTCCTTATTCTGAAGAAAGCTAGTCAACAGCACCCACCTTCAATTCTTGGGCTACTCTAATTGAATACTGGGGTTTGATCCTCACTCTTGTAACATAACCCACAGGCCCAAAGTGCAAACGCGAACTCTGGACTCTCGGAACCAAAGTCTTGAATTCTAACAATTAGTCCACACAAATCATGTTAGAAATAAAACAAGAAATAACAGCATGCAAACAAGGTAGTAATGAATAATATCGATAAATTGTATACACTTTGTTGTATTCATTTTTACTTTTATTTTATTAAATCAACATGAAGCTATACATTAATTAATTTTCAAATATTCAACTTTATACTGTATATATTACATCATTCGTACGCTTCGAGCTATTAGAATTTTTCACTGCTTTATTTTTATAACAAAATGTTTGTTTTTTACTTAATTATTGTTATTAGTTTAGGTTCTTATAAATTGTCCCCCAGTGGCTCAACGGCAAGTCTGAAAGCTTATAGCGCTAAAAATCGGGTTTCGCTACCTGTGATGAGCATAGCACAGATATCCTATTGTGTAGCTTGGCGCTTAACAAAGTATTATGTCGCACACACGTTATAAGAATCCATACTATGTAGTCCAAAAATACGTCAGCAAAGGACCGCTTTTATACCTTTCTTATCATTGAATGGAATGGCTCTAAAATGGCTTTTTCATATCAAGAATTGCGTGTTTAAGACAGAAATGTTTTCATTGACCTATTGCGATATGCGGGCTTTGAATAGACGAAAATGGGAAATGCAGGGTTACTGCATATTTCTTCTCTTTTATAAGTTTGAAATGATCAAGTTAAACTGGAACTCGTTTATTAAAGTTAAAACAAAATGATGATAAATTCTGTTCACAGGGATTTAATTCACATATTTTAGTATGTTACGTTACTTCGATATTAAATTTATCATTTGAAATTTAATATCGTCCAACAGCACACGTTCGAAATATACAAAAAATGATCGAAAGTTTGTAAATCCAACACCGATTATTACTCGATTAAGTACCGCGTTATTTAGAAATGTGAATGAAAATATAATTGTCTAAAGAAAAGGAATTTTCAAATATATATATAAAACTAGCTTAATTGGTACCAGTAAATAACATAAACGTGCTTTACGTAAACTGTATAAGTGGGCCAAGGTTATCACTTCAGCATACACGTCTACAAAAAGTAGCTAAACTACAATATTAAACAATCTTTCTATAGTTACTTTCAAATATTAGTTCGACCACAGTTACGTACAATATAGTGGCCTTGGACTTATAAATATATATAAAAAAGAACTTTTTCATCACTATGCAGTGTTTAAATGGTAACAACTGTGAATGATACATTTGTACCTAGTGGGCAAAAAAAAAAAAAAAAAAAAGGCAATCGAGCATTTTGATAATAATTGTTTTGTCACAATGATATTATATTATTTATATTTTCAGAATGTACTCTATGGACCAGTTGGATTTAATTCTGTTACATCTCAAGTATGACGTTCACAACTGAACAAGGAACAAAGATAGTGGAATTCTACATCGCCACAAGTTCCTATAAGAAGACAGAATCCCTCTATCGTCGTCACTCAATGTTTAAATTCGACTTCTTCCTATGGAATTACTGTCGTCTACATGAACAATCCTCGAAGAATCCAAGAACTGAAGGGAGTTATCTAAACATTCATACGTCGAATTCCAGTGAAACCCAGTCAAAATGTCATCTAGAACCTGGCAGTGAGAATCAATGATTGAGAAGACATCTCGCGTATCCGTAATAAGGACGATTAGTCAGAAAAACATTTTCATTTTCAATAACTGGTTTATAATTACAAATTTATTAGCAAAACCTTCGACTGCGTTTTTTTTATATTTTTATATACATCCTGTATCTGCCACGTTATTTAACTCACAACAAATTATGCTTTTATTTTAGGAAACGGGTTCAAGATACCCACTGATATGTTAAAAGTTACTATTATAAAAAATCCGGAGTGACAGTTTGGAGGAATGTACAACAATATATCCATATCTGTTACATCTAGTGACAATGAGTCTTTCGGTCAATAATATGGTTCAATAGGCTGGCTGAGACACAACAGATATAGAAGTGGCTGAGACAATGCGATATTTTACAATTACCTTTCCATAAAATCATCATAGTGACGGTTTGCTTCATCGGACGTCTAGATAAAAGCCCAAAAAAGAATAAAAATAAACGTGAAAGATAATAAAGAAACCGTGTTGATAACAAGTAAATCCCACTACATACAAGTAACGTGATGATTAGAAGTAAATCCCACTACATACAAGTAACGTGATGATTAGAAGTAAATCCCACTACATACAAGTAATGTGATGATTAGAAGTAAATCCCACTACATACAAGTAATGTGATGATTAGAAGTAAATCCCACTACACATAATTAACGTGATGATTAAAAGTAAATCCCACTACACATAATTAACGTGATGATTAGAAGTAAATCCCACTACACATAATTAAATCCTTCTGTTTGGTGCCAGTAATCGCTGTGATGTTGAAGATATTTTAATTTTTTTCCTTTTTGGAAAGTGTCCTGAAAACTGAGCCAAATATTTGTCTATATTTTAAGAACATGGATATAAGCCTAGATAGTCACGGAATATTCAACAGCAAAATGTGTGTGTGTGTGTGTGTGTGTGTGTGTGTGTGTGTGTGTGTGTGTGTATATATATATATATA